AAATTTGAAATGGACTTTTTTCTCTTGAAAGTTTCCGCCCTGGAGAGCAAATATTATTCTTTCCCCTACACATCCCATAAAGTCAAGGGTTAAATTTTGCAAAGATCAATAGATTTCAACCCTGACACTAAGCACTGAGGCATAGAGACATTACTGGAGAGGCAGAATGGTATAAGGGAAAATTAATACTAGGTTCCTTGGGTCAAGGTCTTGCTACTAAGTGGCTGTGTGTGATTTTGAGCAACTCATTACACCTTACTAATTCTCAGTTTCCTCTTATATAAAATAAGGGGATTGGGTTAGATGATTAGATCATTCCTAAGGTCCCTTGTGATTCTATGGTTGTACAAAAGTTCTAATGGAAGCTATGTTTTATACACTTAAATTCAATCTGTGTCTATAGCTATACTCCACATTTATACATATTGTACATCTCTGTCTCCAGGTTTTTTTTTAAAGGAAACTATATTAGTCATAAATGCCCATAACTCTATTTTTACCTATTATTCAACAGCAAACACAAGATTCACAGACTTAAGAATCTCAGGTCCATGAAGAAGTTTTCTTTGGGGAGATGTTGTGTTTCCTCCCAGGAAAGAGTCTTCTCTTGGACTTTTCCCTCCCAGCCCCATTTGAACTACTTTGAAGGAGGAAATTGAGAACAACTGATCTCATATTCCCTTGCTTGGTTTTGAACGGAAGATTTTTAAGGTCTAGAGAACTAATTAAAACTTGGGAATGGGATGTGTCCGTGAAGTTGAGGTTGGGGGTGGGGGTGAATCCAAAACATTTGATTGGAAATAAAAAGAAGCCACTGCAGACACTGAAAAATCAGTTCTTGGGGAAGATTTTTTTTTTAAATAAGTAGGTCAGAGGGACCAGAGAGGAGAGGAGGCGATCAATCTTAGCCCTCTGACAGTTCCCTCCTATCGCATCAAAGAATTTGGTTCTTTGGGAAACGGAGAGGGAGACGCCTAAAATCATGATCTCTTAAAGGCCAAGGCGGGGGAGGAGTGGGGGGTGGGGATGCAAAGCAGAAAGGTGAATCAGGGAGACCCAGGAGTAGCAGATGGGAAATGAGGAAAGAGAAAACGGCCACTAACTTAAGGAGAAAGTTAGACTGGAAAACTCCCAGGGCTCCCCATCCTCCCTTCCCCCTCCCACTTCAAGCAGCAAGCAGGAGGAGAAAGAGGTGGCTAGGAGAGAAATGGCAACTTGTCTGGGGCCTTGTGAGCTAGGAACTTAACTTTCTGTCAATTAGACATTCGCGTGGGCGGTGAGTATTTTAAGAAAGGCGCAGAGACGGAATCGGGGGAGGAGAGAGAGCTCTGACTAAAGAATATCCACAAAGGGGGGACAGAGGGGCAAAAGAGCTCAAGAGGAGTTGTGTATGGGGTGAGGGAGAGTTTGGAGTTTTGGGTGGGCTGTTGAAATCACAGCATTTCGAAAAGAGCATGTTGCTTGCATCTGGGAAAACCAGCTGAGGTTTGAGCTCAAGTCAGTGAAAAAGAGTTTTTCGTTTTTGCAATTTTTTCTTAGGAGGGAAGGTAAGGAAGATATTAATATTCTTTAAAAATCTTCCCTAAATTTTTCCACTTGCTTTGACCTGGGATTCTGGCTGGGCTTGGAGTGAGGTTCAAGAAGAACAGGAAAGTGGCACATACCAAAAGCTTCAAAGTCTTAGATAAGATGGGGTTTGGGATCTCTTAAAGACAACTTGAAGGGTCCAACAGCCAGCCAATCCCTCAAGAAAAGATAAGGAACAAGAAAACCTCGTGGTGTTGACTTAGAAGGTTCTATAGAGTTGGCCTAGTGAGTTTGGCAGCTTTCTCTCTGTAGTTCAGACAGAGAGCTCTTGTAGGAAGAAGAAGAGGAAGAAGAAGAAGAAGGAGGAGGAGGAGGAGGAGGAGACTGAAGAGTTGCCTCTAAGCCCTCCTGACAGGTTTTATGGCCAGATTAAAGAGCAGTGTAAAATTTGTTTATTAAAGAATTAGAGGTGGGCCTTTAGCAAGGGAAGACCTAGATTCCCAGAGACGTATTTTCCAGCTTCACTGGGACTCGTGCAGCAGAGATATTTTAACTTGATCTCTGGATAGGTATCTGAGCTCCTGAAATCTCCAGGACAGGGCAGGTAGACAGCCCGCCAAAACACTCCCTTATTTTTCCTCTATTCTATTGGGTACTACAGTCAGTTACTCCTGTTTTCAAACTCTCGCTAAAAATCTCTCTTCCTCCTCTCTCACTCTTGCTAGATAAATAGTCCATCCACCACCCTCCTACCCCTCCCCTCCAACCCCAAACATGGCGCTTCATCCAGTTACATCATCCAGAAAATGTTATTCAGGGAAGAAGAAAGAGTGAGAGGGAACGGGGGGGGGGGGGGGGAACCCTTGAGCATTATTTGATCCCAATCAAACTTTGCACGCTCTCCCGCTTTTAGATTATAGTGTGACCCAATGGCAAATTGCTTCCTGCTTGAATGAGTCGAGTCCAGTTAAAATCTTACATCGAACAGGGGGAGAAATCAGGTTGCTTTTTTATTGTTATTTATCGTTGCATAAAGACTGTAATTACTAACCTTGGACTGTCTGGATGCAACATAAAAATGAAAATTAGCCCTCGTTTTAAGGCTGGAGGCTGGGAATCAAACATGCCCCTCCTTTATTCCTCCCTATCCCGTGCATACACATACACACACACTATACATATATATACACATATATACATACATATACATTTATGTATGTATTTCTAATTAAGCAATTCGAGCACATCGCTTACAATTAGAATTATGCAACTCTTCAGCAAATCCACTTCTTCCAGTGAATTAGCCCCATATTTCAGACTCCCTGTCCTCTCTTATCGGCTCCTGCAATTCAGTGCTGACATTTCATCTTTGACAGACGCTTTCTATCCTCGCTCCCACATCATAAAACTTTTATGGAACCGCGACTAATAAATGAAGTTTTTACCGAGATTGGGGGAACCGAGAGGCCCACAAGCCTAAGAATTATTTTATTTATTCTCCTAACCCAAATATCTCCCCCTACCCCTGTCCTCGCCTCGTCGCAGCTGCATCAACTGCTCCTCTCCCTTCCAGAGATTGGTTGCGTCCACCTTTTTTATTAGATTTAATTTAACTTTCGGTTGCAATGTTCTGACCTGAAAAGTCTAGGCCTTAGAATTTATTTATTTAATTTTTTAAAAGATTAATCATTTTCCTTTGTTTTCATTCTAGACCCAATGATGGTTGGTCTCCAGGGTCACGTGATGGCTTCTTTGTAGCAGCGGAAAAGGCTTGCAAAGTTTAGGCTGCTGGAAGGGAGATGGAGCTGTTACCCAGAGCAGAGAGAGGAGAGACAGAGAGACAGAAGCAGGAAGCCAGCAAGAGGGAGGTGTAGCTGGGCAAATGCAGGAAGACTGCTGAGAGAAGAGTATAAAAGCTTATTAAGGAAGCACTAACTTGAGAGGTTGGCAGACTGTTACAATAGGAAATAAACAGAACTCAAAAGAGAGATTCAGGGGCAAGGGGAACATGCTAGGGTGAGGGCTGGGAAAGAAAGCCAGACTGGTATCTTCAATCCCCTTCTTAAATTTGAGAACACTGGACAGCTTGGTTGTTGCCTGACCAATTGGACCAAAGAGACAAGGTAAAATTGATAACAGAAAGTTTATTCAAGAATTGCTTGACAGACAACTCTTTTTAGTAAGGAAAAAGTAACTCCTAAGAACAAAGAAAGATTTCCAAGAGGGAGTAACTCTAAGTCTACAAATTCAGGACTATACAGAGACAATTAGGAGCTGAGTTCATGCCTTTAAGAGAACTAATTACAATTGCTCATAAGTACAAGGGTAACATAAATCTACAGCTCTTTCCTAGAGTACAGTAATAACTAAAATAATAAAAAGGTTTACGATAGGAAACACAACGTCCTTTATAACAAGTAAATACTAAAGGAAAAAAAGTACAATTTTCTTTTGTCCTTCATATAAATACATAATGTTGTGTAGGGGGATAAATAATACAAAAAAAAGAAAATATTTTAACAGGCTATAACCAATAAATATATATGAAAATGTTCACTAGAACACACACTTTCAGAGCAATGCTTGGATTCTTCGGGCCCAAGCGTCTCTCACAGTTGTTTTTATATCCATTAAAATGTAAACTCTAAGTGCAACAATGGTATCCCAGTTAGGAGCATTAGGCCAACACATACCAAAGGCTCTGGCCTCAGCTCAGGCCCTGGGACATACAGTTTGTTCAAATATACCCTGTTTTCACGTTAAGTCAAGAGAATAACTAAATAATGATAATAATAATTAAAAAAAAGCTTCTAACCCCTTGTGTCTGGATTGCTTTTTGTGATGAGCCCTAAAGAGAGGAGGGAGGATGTGATGATTGGACTGGAGAGTGAGAAAGTGGGGGCAGGGGAGGACAGCCGAATATTTAGACCTGACAATTTGCCTGCCCCAGGCCTACCTCTGCTCCTCAGTCATTTTTCAAAGAAAAAATATATATAGCTATATCTTTATAATATAGGCAGCTATGACTTTCAGGATCTCTCAGCATCCCTGAGTCCACTGAAAATTGTAATGGGGGGGAGGATCACCAGGTATGTAGATCTTAAAATCCTGGAAAAGAATGTGGAGTTAACAAATGGGATGAAGGAGGAGGAAAGGAGAGGAAGAGAATGAGGGTGGCCTTAGATAAGGCCTAAATGAAAGAGAGAAGGAAGCAGATTTTGAAGGTGCTAGAGAATGGAGGAGTTAGTGCTGCTTCTGTGCCCTAGGGGTCGAAATATTTGTGTATGTTTTCTTTTTAAAAAGAAAGAGAGAGAATTAAGAAGATATCTGGGATAGCCAAGAAAGGTGGGAGGTAAGTAGTTTGGTTGCCTTTTGCTAAGTCATCCTATTCTCTGCTTTTAAAATGTGCTTCTCCACAACCCCCACCTCCAATTTTCTGAGCTTCTCTTCCTCAAATTCCCCCCCCCCCCCCGCATGGCATTCTAACTAAAAGCTGTTTTGGAGCTTTGGAAATACTAGGGAAAATGAGGGCAGAGAATGGGGGTGGAGAGGGAAAAGATCTCTAGCCTGGTTTGGATTCGGTTCTTTAATTGGCAGGTTGAAGGAGGTAAGTTTGAATGCAAATTTTGTGATGTGGAGACCTGGGAGAGTGAGGCAATCCCCAGTTCCCACCAGGCCCTTTCTTCACAGAGAAACTGCCTGTGTCCCTATAATCCTCCCTTCTGTCCTCTCCATCACCTCTGGGCAATCTCAGTCTACCTGGCTCTTTCCCACACCCTCTTTCCTCCTTGTGCTCCTCTACTCCACCTCCCTCACTTCTCTCACAGGTGTGTCAATTTGGGCGCTTCTTGGATTCTACCCTGAGGAGGTGCATGGTGAGAAGAAAGGTCTGTGTAGGTGGGGTGTGGGTCGCAAGGTCCGTGGTGCTGGCTGGGGGCCATAGGGGGCGCCCCGTTGTAGTCCAGGTTCCCCGACGGGTGGTGGGACAAGTGGTTGAGGCCATACAGGGAGGGACCAGCAGGGGGCGGCAGTGAATCCACGTACCCGCCCCCCCCGACGTACACAGGGCTGCTTTGCATGCTCGGTGTACCGTAGGCTCCTCCGTTGCCTTGGAGGACGTGGGGTTCATACTCGGGAGGCGCGGGGTTGGGCGTGTATTTCTGCGGGGCGGCACAGCCCTTGAGTGGCGGTTGGTAGTTCGACGGCAAAGCATAGGCATTCTGGTGGGGTTTGCCGAAGGCAGGAGGGGACGGGGTCTCATAGCTGGAGGTCATGGTGTGTAAGGCGTTCATGAAGCCCGCTGTAGATTGCATGGGCTGAGGGGGGCTGCCGGCCGGAGATGGGCCTCCCGACGACGAGCCCAGCCCCTTGGACTTCTGGTCCTTCTTATACTTCATCCGCCGGTTCTGGAACCAAATCTTGATCTGGCGCTCGCTCAGATTGAGTAAGTTGGCCATTTCCACCCGGCGGGGCCGGCACAGGTAGCGATTGAAATGAAACTCCTTCTCCAGCTCCACCAGCTGAGCACTGGTGTAGGCTGTCCGGGCTCGTTTGGAAGCCGAGGATCCCGGCGGGCTCTTGTCCCCTCCCCCGCCTCCCCCGCCACCCCCACCCCCTCCACCTCCGCCGCCTCCACCACTGCCACTGCCGCCGCCGCCGCCGCAGCTTTCTGCCGGATTGGAGGGGGGAGGGGGGAGAGAAAATGAAATAAAAGATAATTACTGTACACGCCGAAATTGAATGCATCGTTTCTTAATAAATCCAGGCCCCGGCTCTGAGCCTCCTCTCGCCCTCCCCCTTCCTCCCCCCTCCCCCCGTACCCGTCGCATTAGCGGACACTCCATAATAGTGGCATTTATTAAGAGACCTGTTCTCCACTCGATGCCCTAGCTTATGAAAATTTGATCATGTCACGCAGACACAAGCTGTATGGTCATTTATTTATGACTGGATTATTCTCTCTCTCTCCCCCCCACCCCCACTCCTTTCTCTCCTTCTCTCGCTCCTCTCCTCTCCTCCAACTCTCAGGTGTTCCCTTTCTCCCTTCTTCATCTCTGAAAAATAAAATCCTGGAGAGTACTAATGAAGGGTCTAGAGTGAAGGCCACATTGGGAATCTGGGAATCCCATAGCCAGGTGGGACAGACCCAGGGTCACTGTGCTGGGTAGATGAGGTCTGGCAAGCGGCTGGGACACCTCAGTGACTGTGATTAATATCCACAATAATCATACTTAATAATAATCAATCGGCTTGCGGGCCGCTCAGGGGCTGTTAGACTGCTTTTCTACACTGTCCCACAAACCCTTGGCCTGATTTTCCGACATCTGGGGCTTTTGATGCAATGAGTAAGTGTGTGTTTGGAGGGGGAGGGGGGCGTGTCTTAAATAAGAATGTAGGTGTATTCAGGTGTCAGTTAAATTGAAGGGTTATACTACCCTTACCAAAGCAATAGTCTCTTGGTTACCTGACCCTTCTTCCCACTCCTTTCCCTCCCCTTGTAGTCTGCCACGTGGGAAGTTCTGGGTGGATCCTGGCAAGACCAATAATCACAATAATAGAAATCAAAATAAGGCAGAGAGAGGGAGGGGCAATACCTGTGCTGGGGGAGCTGTTTTTCAGTTTGGAGTTTTGCCTTGACTCTTTCATCCAGGGAAAAATCTGTTTGCTGAGGGTGGAGTTGGAGCCAGGGCCGCATTTGGGGGGAGCGTTTTTGCTGGGTCCACTGGCATTATTGCTGTTGCTACTGGTGCTGGTTGGGGCTGTATTGGGAGGGGGCGAACCCGGAGGAGGGGCCGAGTGGTGCTCCGGGGCCAAGCCAGGCCTCATACAGCTGCCGTTCAACTCTTTGCTTTTGCCATGGGAAGCCGTGTTGCCCAGAGCCTGGAGTGAGCAGGCCGAACGCTGGTAGTCTCCTTCCAAATGCGTGGCAGATTGGAAGGGGGGCTGGGTGGGCCCTTCGTAACCGAAGCCATTGCTGCCAGGGTAGGAATAACCTCCGAACAGAGCTGCTGTGTTATCGTAGTAGGTCGCTTTCTGCATCTCTGGAAGAGCCCTGGACGGCGAGTGGCAACTTGCAAGGGCCTGATTACCTCAGGACTGGACATTGGCACCCTGGGGTCACGTGATGTGCCGGACCCCCCCCCCCCCCCCCCCCTCCTCCCCTGGTCTGTTGGAAGCGGCTGACCTGCAGAGCGAGAAAGGAGAAACAAGGGGAGAAGACTGGGTCTCGAATCCATCTTAGGCGCTGAAAAGCGAGCTGACATCAATAGAGTTTTTTTTTCTATCCCCCCTCCACCTCCCCTAAGCAGATGCTGAGGCCTCCTTCCTGACCTGATGCTGAATTTTGCGGAGGATTTTATTTTAATGCAGAAAATAGAAATTTCATCCCCCATTAAAAACGGTGAGAATGCTGATTTTGAAACGTCCTAGATCTCACAGACTCAACTAATTTCAAGCGACCTCTTTTCCCCTCTCTCCTGTGGAATAGCCTTTGACCTCCCTCCTCCTCTCACTCTTCACCCCCCCTCCAAGTGTAGGATAGGGTGTTAAGCTCTGTCCTTGGCTAAGGGGAGGGGTGAGGGAAGCAGGGAAACTCTGAAATAAAAGCGCTGTCATCTTCATCATCACCATCATCATCCCAGTATGAGTCCCCCCTCCCTTGCCTCCTTGTCCATTTTCAAATTTCCTTCAACCAAGCAGGGAATTAGCTGGCCAAGTAGGGTGGGACATTCGATCCAGACAGAATAGGGAAGCAAGTTTGGCAAGCAATTTCCCGAAACAAAACCGCCCCAACCCGCATGACATAAAACTCTCCTAAGTTTTTAGCCTTCTCCATCCCCAAGTTTTCTCCTTTTCTCTACATTTTCTTCTGAATCTGGCCGAATCCGTTACTCAGTCAAGAATGGACGGAGGTCCAAGGCCAACCAGCCTATTTCGGAGACCCCAGATCCCTTTGGATAGTTCATTCACCTTCTCCCTACCAGTTGGTGCCTCCACCATTTGGTACAGGTTTTCTCCACCTCTTGTTTTCTTCTCTCTATGCCTTTGTGTCTCTCTACCCACTTCCCTTTTTTCCTGTTTTCTTAGGAAGGAGAGAAAGAATAGAATAGAAAAAAGAAAAGAGAAAAAAGAAGAAAATTGTACAGCTACTGGAGTGAGGTGAAGAATGGCCCTTCCTCAAACAGAAAATGACTTGCTAAAGAATATCAACAAAACAGTGACTCCTGGTACTAAAAGTTGAGTTCTTCCTGCGAACTGATTTTAAAAGAGCCCAAAGAAGTCTAACTCTTTTCCTCAAAACAAGCAAAAAAAAAAATTTCCTTATTCTTAATGGTCTTGGTTTTTTTTTTGTTGTTGTTGTTCAGAAAATGGCAGAAAAATAAAGTTGCAAGCTGCTGAGGACTTTGCTTTTTTTTTTTTTTTAATAAGAAAAAAACTTCGTTTTGGCTCTCTTTTCTCTTCTCCTTCCTTAACGGACACCCTTAGATAGGAAAGAATTCTGTAAGCTGACTTTCTTTTATAACACATGTATTTGTGATAAGTGAATTCATTTTAAGTGATACTTATCTTTAAAAAAAAAAGGCAAAGCAAAACAAAAACCTTTAAAGGAGAAAGAAAAGGGAAGACTTTCTCCCAACCAACCTTCCTTTGCTGCTCCACCAAGAATGCATTCAATGGCAGTTATGATGAATAAACACGGATTAATCCTAGAATCTGGATTGAATTCTGGGGTTGAATTTCTATTCTGGGGAGGACACAGGTCTGGAAAGAAGCGGGCTCTCACCGAGAAGGGTCCTTCTGACCCGGGTAACGCAGCTCTTCATTGTTAGCACCGCTATTATTATTATGATTTAGCCCAAATGAGCTTTGGAGCAGCCCTGGCTGAAGGGTGAATTAATTAACACGCATCAGCTGAGTTTCTTATTAATAGATCGGAGAGGGAAACTGAATACAAACTGAAAGGGAGGGGAGTTGGTGGTGGACGGAGTTTTATTTTGTCTAGATTATTATTACAGTAATAACAATAATACCAATAAGCATAAAAATTTGGCTGGAAATCTAAAGCCTATCAACTCTTCGAACGTGTCCTAAACCCCTTGACCACCCTTCCCCTCAAAAGAACCAATAACCTGGCAGCAGCAAGGCCTGGAGTGTGTCTTAGCTGAAAAAAAAAGGGAGATAGAACAAAAAGAGAGAGAGAGAGAGAGAGAGAGAGAGAGAGAGAGTAAACCAGAGGGGAAGAAAAGCTGAGATGTTTGGGAAATTCAGCTCTTCACTCGCCTCCCGGGAAGCTCCTCAGTCTGCGCTGCCGCCGTGCAGGAATCAGGATCATTGCCGGAGGAGGAGAATAGAAAAATGTCCAGGGTCATAACTAGTCAGTAGAGGCCTCTTCCAAGGAGTCTACCCCGGCTACAGACCCGGGCTGTGCGGATCAGGCTCGAGCGCTTCCTTCTGTTCCAAGTTTGGCTTCCAGAGCTAACCGAATTAAAAAGCGGCTTTGCACTCAGCTACTGTGCTTTTCTGAGATTGTCTCTCCGCCAGGGAGCGTCGAGGCCTGGTCAGCCGGGGAGAGGACCTCCGAGGGCATCATAGTTTGGGGTAGGTAGATAGGAAAAGCCAAGAGAAAAACCGGCGGAGGGAGGAGGGAAGAAAGATTGCGGGGGATGGGGAGGGGAGGGAGAGTAAGCCATCGCTATAGAGAGTCAGATGTGTGTATTTTCCCTTCCTCCATGTTGGAAAAATTCAGTTCTCCATCTGGTTCTTCAGGAGGGTGACAGGTCTCCCTCAGCTTCCCCCCAGGGCTTCGATAAGGAGGAAAGGAACCAACCCCCCCCCCTCCAAGAAAGCCATTCTTCTCGGCGCAATCCCCTTTGCCACTGGAGTCTGGACGCTTAACAATAGCTCGAGAGAGGACAGGAGGCCCCTCTAGAGAAGGCACAGGCCGATGGACAACCTGGGAGAAAAGATGGGATTTGAAAAAAAAAAGAAAGAAGGAAGGAAGGAAAGAAAGAAATCAAAGAAAAAAGAAAAAAGAAGAGAGACAAGGAGAGAGAGAAATACACACACATATATATATATATATATATATATATATATATATATATATATTCCAGTCTTCCAATATTTCAGTCTTCCAAGCACAGTCTGGTAAAAAAAATTCAGGCCAAGACATAGGTACAAAAAGAAAAAAGGAGAGAAAGGAGAAGAAAGGAAGAGAAAGGTTGAGAGAAAAAGAGAGAAGGAGGGAGAGGGAGAGGGAGGGAGGGAGGGAGAGAGAGAGAGAGAGAGAGAGAGAGAGAGAGAGAGAGAGAGAGAG